GTTCTCAAACCCATAAAGAACTCTTTGGGAGCTCTTACGGGGAAATGCGTTCCTCGATTACTGCGTCTCACTAAATGCAGTGTATGCTTGGTGGAGATCAGAATATTACGTCATGTATGAGATGGAGTTTCTTCATGGAAAATGATATTGTCCTAGATTTTATGAAGCATGTGTCGTAAGCAGTCGATCTATTCAGCCCGCAGAACTCCCATGACGCCGTTTAAGGAAATGTGTATGTATGGGAGGACGCGACAAGACTACGCCATTTGAATCTATAAACGCTGAATTGTGGAATGATATAATGGAATTATTTTAAATCTCGCCATTGGACAAGATTCGAACCAAACTGGTTGGTGGTAAATGAGTAACGAAATGGGCCCTTTGTCAGTACGACATGGCACGTCCCTGGTTTTAATTGAAGACGACCTTCAGGATGCTGAGAATAGATGCGACTATGTTGAACAGTCGCAGAGAGCCGACAAGGACTGGTCCTCTGTCTTGGGGCTGGGAGCTTACGACGTTTTGACGTTACAAAATAGCTCGATGAGCCTGGGGCTTAAATGGTATCCAATGGCGGGCTCTTGTGAGCACACTTAAGAAACCCGCTGCTTCCATAAAAGAACAGCGATGTATTAATTAATTTGAGCGATTGACAGCATCTCAAGGAGGACTCAGCTCCGTGGAGTAACCAATGCATTGTGAAATCCCACACGTGATTTATGATTTGGGTTTTCAGTCCCACATGATGCGCGTATGACGTGTAAACCGTCAGTAATTTGGAGTTTAACGTATCAGCAGAGCGTAACCAAGTATCACTCCACGCTTATATGGCAACTATTGCATATATTTTTCAACGAAATTGCCTAAAGCTTCAAGGCAAAGAACGTGAAATTATCAATGACGTTATTGTAGCATAGATTGTTGTACTGTTCCTTCCTATTCAGTTTTCAAAATTTGTGAACATGCAGTATTTGAGGTTTTCACTGTGGTGTATCTGAGGAAATGTGTTCCTTCTTCTGGATTGTATATAGCGACAGTGTAGTTTGGCAGAAGTTTACCGACGTTTCGGAGGTCCTTGCTGCCTCCATTAGGGCGTTGATGGAGGCAGCAGGGACCTCTGAAACGTCGGTAACCTTTTACCAGACTACATTGCGCAACAACCCAGAAGACAGCCATCTTGTGAGCATGTTGTCTTATGATAAAGTATTCAAGTATCAGAGCTTGTTTTTAAATATTTAAAAGATCTTGCTTTCAGATTACTAAGAAGTGACACCAAAAAAGCATTTTTAATTTTGAAGTGCAATATGAGATGGGCCATGTAAAATATATTTTGTCCTTTCCTACACAAAATAGAAGACAAGTGTTTTTTTGTACATTAGATAATGATGCCAGATTGTCTTCTGATTAGACCTAATACAGTGAAACAGTCTGCATGAGTGCAATATTAATTTTAATTGTAGGATACTTTAAGTGCCAAATGGGCATATCAACATAGACTGAAAATCATGGCCTAAAAGTTGAAATTAATTTATGATAAATATTACTGGCTTTATGCAATTATTATCCAAGCCCCTAATATCCTATACTTACCAAATTCAATATTTTGTATATATTATCAGCTTCCAGGTTGGAGATAGGACGGTAGATTAAACATTTTATGTACATGTCTGACAGTTTCTAATTTTAGTTAGCTTGTATTATCGACACATAATTTTACACATAGTTTGTTCTATTATGTGAATGCTATCTTGAATTGCAACATTTGATAGAGAGAAGTATTATCAGAATGTGATCAGTACAACAAACTTAGCATCTAGACATTTGCAGCATGGAATGAAGTTGTGGAATTTATCTTGCACGACAGATGCCATAAGGAAAAGCTTTGATCTTATCCTACTTGGCTTCAGGACTGAGATTTAAACATTTATATTATCACTTAATCAGGATACTAGTGTATTGTGTGTATGTAACCCTCCCATAGCTGGCCGCAGTGGCCACACGGTCTGAGGCATGGACCTCGTGCGCCTGGCCGCTGGGACCATGGGTTCGAGTCCCACTCAAGGCATGGATGTTTGTCCACGTCCTCTCTTCCAGTCTGATGGATAAAGACTGGCCATGGAAGGCAAGGCGAAACCACCGTGGTATCTTCGCAAGAACCCAGAAACTTTCAACCTTCAAAGTGTGACATTAAAAAAACACCCATGCCTCTTTACACCGTTTATGATGTGTGTTGTGTTCTGCATGAGATACATATTTTAAGTGCTGGATAGCAGAATGTTCCGTTTTATTACTGCTGCTCCATTAGGCTGCTTATAGAACTATTACTAATGGAGATGAAGGTATGAAAGGGATAAAGTAAAGAAGGAAGGGGATAAGGAAAAAAGATACAAAAGATATCATTCTACACTGAATTTCAGAGAGTGTTTTCTAGATGAATACCATATCATCTCTGACCAATTCACACTTGATTTCAGACCAAACCAGACCAGTATGTGTGATAAAAATTACATCAAGTTTATTTGCACTTTTGAGAAATGGTTGGTCAATTCTTAAACAGTGCTAAATTTATAACATATCCAAAACAGTTTTGTCTCTTTAAAATGATCAGGTGAATTTCACCTACTAAAGTTTTGAAATGGGTAGGTTAACATGTAATAATGTTTTCAAATAAGATGAGTCACAAAACTGAATGTTAAGTGTGATTGATTACTGTGGCAGATCAGGTTTAAATGGCCACAATAGTTCCATACCACGAATCCATGGCTGAAAACATTCTATATAGGGCATGTAGCATTTATTGCACTCATACTTAATTAATTATGAAGGATGGAATTCTCTTTTGGGCATCGTTGATGTAGGAACACTAGTGCAAATTCCTCATGTTACTGAGCCCTGAAATGTGGCAAAGGAACTGCTGCCCATGTAATTGAGGTACTGAAAATATTTCAGGAAATTGCATTTTTATACTAATATGACAGAAGTACTAGTACTGTGTGATCTGTGTAATTTTGGTTTTCAATAAAGATACATAGCATCTTGAAATTGTTGTTTTCTTATGTACCTTTTTCATCACTGTCAAGGGGTTTGCATTTTCCGAACTCAAAATTATTTTTGAACATCTGGGTAATATTCTTGATTTAGGGTTTATAAATGCAAGCCTCTTTGCCCTAGCTAAGAATTAATTTTAATTTTAATGCTCAGGAAATAAGTTCTGCTATAGTAATAATAATAAGAATAACAACAACATAATGGGTGGTATGATGTACTTCAATTCAGGAACCATTAGTGAAGTTTAAAGGTTTGTGATGTGGCAATTTGTTCAGTCATTCTGTTGGACTTCATTCATTGTGTAAGCAAATTTTATTTAAGACCACAATATTACAGAAGTTTGTTCTGCTTCTGTCTTCAGGTGACTAGTGAGAGGACAAAACACTGCACTGTTGGGTTGTTTGGTTGAGGTAGTTTTAATTTTGGCCACCTCAAGACAAATAGAACAAATTTCTGAAATTCATTGTTTTAAATAGAAAGATACTCGGACAATGGATGAAGTCTGTCATAATGATTATACATATCATTCATGATGTTTGTTTTCTTGAATTACATAGCTGTCAATACTAATTTAAAATTATTTAATACTTTTAGGTAGAATTTGCCCTATATGAATATTCAAAATGTGTTTTACACAGAATAAAGAGGAGTCTGACCACAAGATTTGATGGTCATTTTGATTTGCTGTTATCTTTCAGTGGAGGTATATACACATACACTTAAATGTACATAATTCCAGAACTGGAGGAACATGATTTTGTTTTTATTGGGTTCTTGTAGAAATATGTTATGTTGAATATATTTATTTCTTATTAGGGCTCATTTACTTGCATGATTCATGACACATTGTATATTGTGTGCTTACAGGTTAGCATACAATCCAATTTGAAAGTTGGTTAACAATCTAATGATTGGGAGGGAAAAACTGATATGTCACTATTTAACTTTGTATTTCCATTTTCATAATCACTAGTGCGATGGATTTCAGTGTCTGAATAAAAAAGTGGTGGAAGCAATTCAGACAGTAAGAAATTTGCATATTCCTCACACAAAAGAGACAGTCTGCAAGATGTATGAAGATTTTGCTAGAGTATGCCTAACCTTGAAAGGCTTGCTTCACTCCTTCCTGAGAAGCCAGTTGCTCAGTCACTCAAGAAATACCCTACATTTTATTGAACCTGAAGGTTTATTACCATGTTCATAAGAGTCTGCTTCTGGTCCCTGTTTCACTTCTAACTAACTCCCTGGTAGCAGAACCCACAGTTTCAACACCAAAAGCGCTGCATAATTATGCTAAAATAGACAGCTTAATAGGTGTAGTTCAATTTGAATTAATAATACCACAAAACCTACAAAATGCATGTTAAAATATTACAGTCTTTGTATAACTTTTTTCTTGGCTGTAGTTAGGAGTACTAGTTCTTACATTTAGACACAGATTTCTTCCACTTTAGAATATATTTGTTACATTCTGTTATAGAATTAATGTTAATGGAAATTGACAGTAACTTTGTTTTCAGCTGCAGGAGAATCTGTTTGTACTCTTCACTTGCATAATAAAGATTCTGTTTCAGTGTAGAATATATATTTTATTGCAGGATGAAGGTACACTGTACTACAGGTACATCAATTCATTATATAAGATTGATTTTGGAGATGTATATATAACATTTTTTGTTTCCTAACAGGGCAATGCAGTGTGCAACATTTATGGAAGCATTAATAACTTTTAAGGCCTTATTCTTTCAGGAGTAATCTCAAGATATGCAAGAAGATATGATTACTTCTCTAATTTGCAGTTTACTAGCTTTTAGGTTTGTCATTGGGAGATCTCCAGTGTTATTTGTGTCCAGACATGATGATTGTTCAGGACCTTGTGAGAGAATAAAATCTGTTCTTATCATAGTTTTCAGTTTTACAGTCTGTTATCATCAGTTTCTCTTTTTTTTCAGCATCATTCCTTCAGGAAAGTGACATGTTTATGGATGCCTTGACTGCATCTACCAAGAAGGAACCCCGCAAACGTAAGCGACGAACTAGTAGTAGTAAAGATGGTCCTGATACAAAGAAAGAAGCAGCCACTGGAAAGGAAGAGGAGACCATCAAGGAGTCAACCCCACCATCATCTCCCACTAACAATGGTGAAGACAGCAAGTCACCTCCTATTGTCAGACCATTGCTCAAGGTGAGTCATCTGGCAGAAGGGGTTAAGGAAAGTGTGGCAATTCTATCAGTAGTGTAGAGAACAATGAGACAACGTGGTGATTGATTCTTAGGTTAATAATGCTGTCCCAACTATGTGCTTTATATAAGACTGTGGAGATGATCATGTATAAGTAGGTAAGGAAGTGTCTCTGAGAATTGTAGGCTCCATTGACATAAGACTTGCTAAAAAAAATTACAATTATGAACGAAATACTCGACCAAGTTAATTTGTTAGTCTTTTCATAGCTTGTAACATAGGCTAAAAGAACAAATTGAGAGTGAAATAATTTGTTACCTTTTCAAAGTATGAGTACACTTCTTTAAAAGACAAACATTTGCATTTGTGGTCACAAATTTGAAAATATTTATTTTTTTAAATTCTGTTTACCTGCATCAAGTCTTTTGACTTGCAACTGAGACAGGTCACATATTCTCAAATCACAAATCATTTGACTATACAAATAAAATAAATTCTTAATATGCTACTTACTCAATAACTAATGTCTTATATAATTTATATGCATTTGTCCACCATTTGCAATAGCTAATAAATGCCATTTGTTTTTATAGATTTAATACTGATTATTTTATGTTTCAGTTTTATCAGGACACTTTGGAGACCAATGATGATGAAAAAGGAGATGATGGGGTGAAGGAAAATGAAAAGAAGACTGATAAATCTGCATCAGTATTAAAGGGGAAATCTGAAGAGGAAGATCAGAATTGTAAGTGCAGCTGTTATTTTTTTCTGAAGATCAAAAACCACATCCACTACATCGGCAAGTTACTTAAATCTTTAAATGTGTAAAACTTAGTAATTAAATCCATGGGCATTGTTCTCCTAAGGCTTATTACCGTCATTGGACCAACATCCTGAGCCAGCTCAATCCAGTTTATATTTTTACATCCTGTTTTTTAAAAACAGTTTTAGTGTTGTCGTCTCATTTAAACACAGTTGTGTTAAAGTTCCTAAACCAAAACTTTGCTTGTGTATTTTTACAATTTTTATTTTCTTGGGTTTTTCTGACAGCACCTACACCAAGTTCACAGGATGGGAATGAAGGAAGTCCTGAGGATGCTGCATATGGAACTGGTGAAGGGAGACGGAGATTGTCCAAAGATGATAGTCCAAAGGAAGATGATGGATATTATGATGAGGGTAAAGGGAAGGATTCAACAGAAAATGCACCTGGAAAGTACCCAAAGGGTGTACTCATTTACCATAAAACCAAGAAAGGCCCAAAAAAAGTTGTCAGGTGGAAGCAAGAAAAGGATTTGGAGACCATAAAATACTTTGAATTGGATGAAACAGAAAGAGGTAAGTACAAATCTGATTCAATATGCTGTGTCTTTCAGTAGTGTGTGATTTGTTTGATGACAACCACACCATTATGTTTATGAACCATGAAGTTTATCACTTGATTTCTGCCTGCATTGCTTTTGCTCACAACTGGATTACATTTCCAGTATGAAATTAATATTCAATATAAATTGATTGACTTCCTTCAGTTTCTAAATTCATCAACTACCATAAACGAGTTATTGCTGAAGAAATATAATTTTTCTTCTCTTTCTTGCTATTAGGAACCAAATTTTATGTACATGAGTTTTATTCATACAGATGAAGTGTTATTGTATGTATGCATACATGGAAGTCTGTTCAATAATAATGTAATTTAATATATATATTAGTGGAGATGGTTCCTGAAAGCACTTTAATATTCATATCATAACAAATCTTTATTTTGATATTTTGCTCAAATATTTAATTGAGAAACCACTTAAATGTAAGAATGTAGGACATAACCACATGAAAATGAATATTAAAATATTTGTCATTAATAAAATGAATTATTTGTGATTTTAATTTTGGCAGATCATTTGTTCTTTTATATCACAATAACAGTGATTCTGAATATAGTCATTTGGTGCTGACTCTGTTTTGAATAGTCATGTGCACGGTGCTGACAACCACTTGCATGATGGAAGCAACTGGTTTTGCTTGGTGATACCATGTTATTCCATGACCATGAGTTAACAAATCTTATAATTCTTTCAAACTTCCACTTTTCTGTTTTGTGATAATGCCCAATTATATCTTTATGCTTATTTCCTGATTTGTTCTTTTACAGTGAATGTAACAAAAACTTTTATGGACATGAAACAAATGGAAAGAAGTAATGAACGAGAAGCCTTCTTGCATGCAAGGAAGCTCCGTAAGTGTTCAGACATGGTAGAATAGTATACATATGCATCAGCTTAATAAAGTTATGTGCAATGTGATATGATGTGCACATGTAGAATACCAACACAACTACGGTCATTTCTCTCCCCAAATCTCTATGGATTGCTTTAATTCCTGACATAACTCATTGGTACTTGTGTCACTGTGCCTTTATTTAGATGAATGTTTTTGACTTATATACGTCTATAAGGAAGGGTCATTCGGCAAAAAAGTGTAACGAGAAAGGGAAACGAAAAGTTACAGGAAAATCTGTAAGATCCGATAACAATGGTTACCTAGGGAACGTCATCTTTAATCAGCATTGTTGTTACCTAGGAAACGTCATCCGTTTATTCGGTATTATTGTTACCTAGGAAACGTCATCTATTTACTCGGCATTATTGTTACCTATGAAACGTCATCTGTTTACTCGGCATTATTGTTACCTAGGAAAAGTCATCTGTTTACTCATCATTGTTGTACCTAGGAAACGTTACATTACATTTCATTACAATACAATACATTACTTTACATTACAATCATCTATCACAGACCCATCTTAAGCGTAACTAATTCAAGTTAAATAAGCAATGTCTTAATCAAACTTTACGCAATTGCAAAGCATGTATGAAGGAAATATTTAGAATAAAGCCAATATATAAACTTCCTTTCCGTATAGATGTATTTACGTCAAATTCTCCGGAACCGTGGTTCCACTGTTACTTTTTTTACTGATATGCAAAATTGATTTCTATTTCAAAAGTGTATAGTCTTGCTCCTTTAGAATTGTATATTTTTGCTATGTGATAGAAAATTGCATTGGTGCTAAAAGTTTAAATTTTAGTCATTGTTTTGTTCTTAATGGGGTATAAAGGATGAGTTTGTAGATCTGTAAAGTGACCGGCTGGATGACAAGGGCTAAGCCCCCAGTGGTGGCAGGAATTTTTCCCCTGACTATGGCATCCAGATCAGTTCTGAGGTCCATCCAAACCTTCTATTCAGTTGACAGTGGAGACTCCTTCCCCATGGATAAAGTACCCTGAACATGAAGCTGACCACTGACTCATTTTTGCACTATATGGTCTGAGCTGTTGACAGTGTTATTAAATAAACCACTGAGCACTCTCCTCTGTCTGATGCTGAGGTTATCTCCACTTCCCCATACATCTTCGAGGTATGGTACTCATGCAGGGACAATATTACCCTTTTACTTAATACATTCAGTTTTCCAGATATACAAGGCTGTGTTGTTGTTTTTTGTTTAAGTACACTTTGTGTACAGTTGATATGGCATAAACAGAATTGTATTTCTCATAAAACATGTGATGATTTGCCAAGAATTACACAAAGTTATATTTGCTCTCAGCTAAGCGACAATTGTCAGAGATAACAGTTTGTTTCAAGTTGGAAATACTTGTTCTTTGTTTTATTGGTGATTTGATTAACTAAAATTCCTTGTAAAGAAATACTTTCCAAGGTGCTCCTCATCTTTAGGCCTTATGTTTATTGTGAGTACCAGATTCAAAATTACACCAAAGTAACTGATATGGATATACTCATACCTATACTGAGATACATTTATGTAGGATATCTTTTCATCCTCATTTGTTTGCTTGTTAAATATACAGAGTAGAAAAATAATTACATTGAGCCACTTTTTAGAAAATTAACAAAATTTATCATATGTCTAACTCATATGAATCAAAATAACATTTTCCCATTGACATCCAGTACCACATTTTGTCAAAATTCATTTGGCACTTTTGGGGTGAAACAGATGGACATGATCTTCCTGTTCAGTGTGATGCATTTTGTTCAGTGAATGCACAGAAATTTTGTAATAGCACTGCCTGTTATCCTTTACATCTTTATGTTGACATTGGAATGGTTGTAATAAATGTATAAACAGTATCTTATTATGTATATTCCTCTGCAGCTCAAGATGATACAATGGAGGAGAAGATATCATGGCAGCCTCTGATTCCAATTGACATGCCACCCAGCTTGGTGGAGCCTGGTATTCACAGCCGAGAAAAGGATGTTCAATATGCACGAGAGAAAGTCATTCTGCAAGCACTGTACTTCAGCAGAGCCATGTATGTTGAATATGATAGAAGTAATGTTATAGAATATCTAGATAAGATGCCAAAGTATGACAGAAGCTTGAAATATTAGTTTATTGGAAACTTCATCAACATAAATATGATAGGGAACAAAATTTAGTTACCACAGTCTATGTATTTTGCTATTATCTGTGGCGAGTACTCCTTCTTTTCATTCCTGTCCAGTTTCCATACTTATATCTTATATGATTTTTAGTCTTATCAATGTAAACAGCAGATTAGTCACTTTCAAATTCATGTGTATGTAACTATCATCTTTTATTTATTTATTTAACTTTATTGGTGGTAGGACTGAACTTATTTTCTATATTATTTGAAAGCTACACTATGTTTGCCCAAACTGTCAAGAGATGGCAGGAAGGGCTTTTTTTCATTGACTCTTGCACACCAGTTTTTAAATCTGAAGAGGTGAGTGTTACTATTGTGTAAATTTATTGGATGCTAATGGTTAAGAATACTTGGGTATGCAGTATTTCACATTATGTCCTGCTGTGTTGACCTTAAGTCATATTAATCTGCAGAGGTTTAAAAATGCTTAACTATTTTTCTTGTTCTAATAAAGAAAACTGTCTTCTGGGTTGTTGTGCCATGTAGTCTGGTAGAAGTTTACTGGTGTTTCAGAGGTCCTTGCTGCCTCCATCATCAGAAAATTTCTCCCAGACTATATGGTGCAACAACCCAGAAGATAGTCATCTTCAGACTCATCTCTGTGAAAACTTCAAATCCTACTTATCACATTTCTTTTTTATGATTACAGGATACCTGATTCTGCTTCAGAGCCAGATCAGGAGATCCATCCAACTACAGATCCAGTTATAATTCCTTTGGATGATGTCACAGGCAATCCTGACAGTGTCAATGACTACCAAAATACACCATGGCCTGAGCCAAAACCGCTTATAATCCCTCAGTCACCTCCACCACAGTTTCAGCAGTCTCAGCCACCCTCATTTGGCTCATTCTCAAATCAGACATTTCCAGGACCACCACAGATATTTCCAAACCAGAGTGGTATACCTAATAATATGCCCATGCCAGGGAGCATGATGGGACCAAACCCAGTGAACAATATGAATCCAATGAGTGGCATGAATAATATGGGCCCTGGGGGTGGAGACTGGAGGGTAAGCATATATTAAAGCTGAAATTTTATGTCTGTTACTTTGTGATATTGGCAGTGCTCGAAGAGGTATGGGTGAAAGCCAGATTACATTCCAGCTCCTCAAGTAGTGTCTCAAAACTCTGTTACAGCTGAAGTTCACAGATGTTCAGAGTAGCAACACAGGCAGTGATCACTTTGTGTATCAATTAACATGTTAATGCCATTGGCAAATTAGGAACTACTAGAGCAGAGCGCTCCTTTCGGAGCTCCTCGGGGGGGTTGGTCAAGTTTTTAAAACGCCTTTGGTTGCGTTTTAAAATCTTGAGTAAGACACTAAACTAACCCCCGTTGGTGGGTGGGGGGGTTAGTTTAGTGTCATTCAAGTGTTTTAACCCTTGAGTAAGAAACTAAACTAAACACCCCCCCCCTCCCCCCCGAACGGAGAGTTAAAACACTTGACCAATTCACCCTTCAGCAACCAACCCCCTTCGAGGGGGTTGTTTGCGTTTTAAAATCATGATTAAGTCCCCCCCCCCCCCCCCCCGAATGGGGGTTGGTCAAGTGTTTAAAACGCAACCAACCCCTCCTTTGGGGGGATTGGTTGCTTTCTGGAGCAGTGATCATGCGACTGGCTTGGTGATCTCGTAGCTGTGAAGCGTTATTTGTTGATGACTACAACGGGGAATCAGAAATTTTTATAGTAGATTATGACTTTTCTCTCAGTCAGTTTAACATTGTTGTACATGCATAGTCCAGTTCTTCTTTATTCCACTTCAAGCGCTGGGTTTTGTAGAATTGTATGGGACAGTACACTGTATGTCAAAGAATGTAGTGTGTTGAAATATTGATTTTAAATGTGTGCTATTTGTAGTGTCAATAAATATCCTACAAACCAAGACAAATAGATAATAATGTTGTGTTCACACATCAATAATTATGATCATCTTACTGTTATGCATCTTTTCAAGTCTTCATGTAATTGACAATGTAGCTTGTGTCAACACAAGGAACAAAAATAAGCTTCATAGACCAATTGTCAACCTCTCATGTTTTCAGAAGAGTGCTTATTATGCAGGGATCAAAATTTTCAACAGTCTACCATCAAATCTCACAAGTCTTGTAAATAAAAAGGCACAATTTAAACTAGCATTAAAAAGATACTTAATTACACACTCCTTTTACTCTGTCGATGAATTTCTAATGTTTACAAGTAAGTCATAATTTATCTATTGTATATAATGGGTGGATTTATTTGTAACTTATCTCTACTTTATGTGAACCCTTTGTTTGTATTTGTGACATTTATATAATAGTATGACTTGTATTTATATAACATGTATTGTATTATTATGACTTATTCTACATCCTATTGTCATCTGACTAACTTATGGATCCATGGAATGTAATAAAGATGTATGTATGTATGATGTATTTCAGACTGGTGATGGAAAGGTGCTCCCTATCAATGAAATGCCTTTGCAAATAGATATGTACAACCAGGGAGGCCCCCCCATGGGCATAGGAATGCCTAGTATACCTGCAATGGGTGGAATGGGTGGGCCTGGTCCAGAGATAAATTATAACATGATGGGAGGTGAAGATATTGGTCCATATGGACCACAGGGTTTTGCCATGGGTGGTCCTCATCCAGGAATGTACCCATTCCGAGGTGGTCGGGGACCCAACATGAGTGGTGGAATACGCAGTGGAAGAGGTGGCAATCAGATGGGACCCAGAGGACCAAATGGTGGACCCTGGTATCGACCCAATGGACCTCATCCCATGGGTAACAGCTGGCAAGGTGGTGGCGGCGGCGGTCGTGGAGGTCAGTTGTGCCTTTATCTTCGACGTTATGAATTAAATATCCCCACTTACTGAATATGCCCGTTACAAAAATGAAGTCTGCTACTGAATCACATGGCTGCAGTGAGGCTGTTTTGTAAGCCCATATTATGGTTCCATTTGATATTCCAGATTTTTGTGAAAGGCATTTAAGATATTTATGAAGCAGTTCACACTGAGTTCCAGTTTCATCCAACTCTTCTTCTGTCTGTTAATTTGCCAGTTACTATTTTATTGACAAGATTATGAATATTGTTTCTGTTTGGTACTTGAATCCCAGGAAATTTTCTCCTGAATTTCATCTGACTCTTGCAATCAGAGTTATGCTTTACACAAGATTCATATAAAAACAGCTGATGCTGTAGTGTACTTTCCATGTCCTACACAAAGGAAATGTACATCTTCCTCTTATCATTGCTGCTAACTCACAGCTATAATCAGCACAGTAATCATGCATAATGGAAAGGCTGTGCCTCAGTGTAGCTGCCAAAAACTTCCTTGTATTTTCTGATGTTAAATTCTTTTTGTTGTGAACACGACATCATGATATAACGAATTATGTGATTTTTCAGGTCGTGGGTGGGGTGGCCAAAATCGAGGTATCTGCAAACATTTCCGGGGAGGTTTCTGTCGGAATGCTGATACATGTCCATATTTGCATCCAGGGGTGAATGGACCTCAGTACTGAAGCAGTTTATCAACGTCAATCTTCAGAGAGCAAAGAATGCTGAAATGTGCAATAATGTTTCAATAATGTGGAATGTACTGACAAGATATCTTTTATGACCTATAAACTTTGTTTTGTGTGATACATCAGACAAGTTTTATTGGTTGGGTGTGGCAGAAATTTCTCTGGCCTAGGGAGTAAGCAGTGTAGAGACTATGTGACTGATTCTGTGGCAAGTAATTTCTAATTGTATTTTCACTTGTTCCAAGTTTATGGACAGGAGTCGCTCAAGAGGATCAGATTTAATGAACTGCTGTGTGTGTGTGTGTGTGTGTGTGAGAGAGAGAGAGAGAGAGATATGCTCATTCCTTGTGATGGCCTTAGAAGACATGTCAGTCTGGCTTCCATTATACCAAACTTCACATAAGGGCATTTTTATAACTGCACAAATCCAACTAACATTCTGACACAAAAGAGTGACATATAAAAACAAACAATGTTTATATATATATATATATATTGCATTTCTTGAATGAATTCTCCTGCACATTGGGTGGTATGATTTCATGTATATAATTGTATATAATATTGGATTAACTAATGGTTAAGTAAAGCAAGACCAAAAATACATTTGCTGATTTCCTGTTATTTACAGAGGGCAGCAGAGATTAGAATTATAGAGCCAGTGAGTATGTTGCTTAATGCTATATCTCTTCCTACTTGGCACATCTGCATCTATAATCTTGAGATGGAATGTGAGCTTTGTATATTTGATTATACTCAGTGCTGATGAATAATCCAAGAAATGTATGACTAAAATATATATATACACACACACACATATATGTCCTCTACTATTAAATTGTAAGATTTCTAAGATGCTATATTATTTATTACTCCAGAAGAGAAGACAAGTTTTATATTTTCATGGACAAAACTGTGCTATCCCCCTGAAGAATAAATTCAATTTCTTTTAGGAAAGGATAAGAGTATCTCATTACATTAAAACCTGTGAATACATGTACAGAAAAACTGTAGAGGTGTACAGTCATTTTGCATTGTTATTTTGTGCATTCCGTTTACACTTCAGATATCTTTCATAAAATATAAGACCAGATGTTTGTAACATGATAATTTATTTCCCTTCACTCCCTAATACCAATATAAATATAAACACATAGCTGTTAAACAGCTGTTTACAGACTTTGTGTTACAAAACTAAATTATACAGAGCAAAATAATTATGTAAAGGAAATATTTTACAACCCTTTGAGGCTGAGTAGTAACTATAACAAATAGAAATGAGATCCATGATGAAATTAAGAGTATAATACAATTTGGAAATGCTTGCTTTTATTCACTTCAAAAACTGTTATCATCTAATTTTCTTTCCAAAACACTAAAGATCAGGATATATAAAACAATAATTTTGCCTGTTGTCTTGTATAGTTGTGAAACAAGGTCTGTTACCTTGAAGGAAGAACACAAATTACAAATGTTTGAAAACAAGGTGCTTAGGAAGATAAGTGGGGAATTTAGAATACTGCATAATGAGGAGCAGGTCACTTAGCATAGTGGAGATAGTGAAATCCAGGAGGGTCTGATGGGCTGGACATACAGGATTTTGATAGGGAATCCTTCTGGAAAACTACCACTGGGCATACAAAGAAGGAGATAGGAGGATAGCATCAAGATCTTAGGAAGGTGGGCTGTGAGAATGGTAAATGGATGGAGTTGGCTCAGGATCACTTATGGTGGCAGGCTTTGGTGTTGTCAGTGTTGAACCTGTGGGTTCTGTTCTGCCAGGGAGTTAGTTAGTAGTAACTATGTACAGCATGCTTTAATAATGAATAATTGCATTTTAGCCACAGAGTGTATTTATGGCAATCTTATGATTCTCTAAATGAACAACAATAATTATTTTATTATTCTCTATTATAATTATCTTGTATATATTATTAGGTTCTTACAGCAGCAAGTATGAAGATGATTGAAGTGCTTACTGCCTCCATCATCAGGGCTATGAGTGGTGGAGGCAGTAAGCACCTCTAAAAGTCACTCAGTTTCTACCAGACTACACAGCATAACCCAGAAGACAGTCATCTTTGAGATGTACTGTTTCTGTGAAGGTAAAAACTGAATTCTTAAATATTATTTAGACAAGCTTTGGCTCCAACAGAAGTAAATTCTTCTAGAATAAGATACATAATTGTAATTAGAATTTATTTACACTTCATAGGCCCTTCACAGGACAGCCAAAGTTGTAGGACATGTGACATATACTTAATAGTGATATGTAGCTGGCTGTTACAATTATTTCCAACAGAAGAAGCATCAAAGATTGGCATTGCTACATCTCTCCACAGGACACGTAACTAGAAACTGAATGCAACTGCTTCATACTGTTAAAATGTAAACTACTGCATAAAAATCTTAAAAGCAATACAATGATATTTTTGTATCAATACCTGTGTACACACAGTATAACTAAGAAATGTGAAGCATGAAACCATACTATGTATTGACAATTATTATATTCAGAAAATGTAAATAGATATTTTAGATACTATAATTTATTTGTTAATAATAACTGATTTTTAAAAAGTATGGAGTTAAACCTATGACAGATTCTTACAATGAGTGTAAAGGTGAATATATCAAAACAAATTTGTGCATATATACATTTGTGTGACATTTTACAACTACTAATACGTTATATATACAGGGTATACACAAAAGAATGGTGCGGAAAGCTGGTTGTTACCCCAACTGAATACCAATGATGATGATTACATTCTAAAACTGGACGGAGCTCCCCCCCCATTTTCACAGGAATGTATGAGTGCTTCTCAATCGTGTTTTTCCACAGCGCTGTATCGGACGTGCTACTGCAAATGGAGACAACAACCTTCTCCCTTGGCCACCCTGTTCGCCAGATCTTACACCGTGCGATTTCTTTCTTTGGGGGTTCGTTAAAGACAGCGTTTATGTACCATTGCCCACGTCCATCCATGAACTTCGTGATCAGATAACGCATGCACTGCAGGCCATTACAGCGGACATGCTACACCGGGTCTGGGATGAGTTTGATTACCGTGTGACCCAGGGTGCACACACTGAAGGATTGTAATTAACGCATGAGAAACTTGGACACTTGCCTGTGTTATATATATATATATATATATTCTCTTGGTTTTAGATGTATTTTAATGTTACAATAAGCAGTATATAAAATTAACATTAACTGTTATTGTGCAATTAAGAGTTATATACAACAGAATTCTGTTGCAAACATAAACTGTATAAATACTGCAGACAAATTCATCATAGTTTGGGGTCCTCTTCGTTTGATGAACATTCACTTTAGCATGAACTACTGCTGTGTAGATTTTGATGACTTCAATTCATCTAAACAAGTACTGGCTTCTTTCAAGACTTGAACATTGTTGTGTTTTTTAGCATTTTGCAATGCATCTTTATAAACTTGTTTGGCTTCCTTCATCATTCCTTTTTTCATATACACAGTCCCAAGATTGATTAGAATAGTGCCAAAATCCTCCATATCAGGAAGTTTATTTCCAATGGAAACTGCTTGAGTCAAATAAGAAATTGCACTGTCAAAGTCATTCTGAACAAAACAGATTGTGCCAAGATCATTTAGTAGTACAACTGTTTCCTCATTATTCATGCCATTAATTTTCACACACAAGTGATATGCCTTCTTGAAGCAGTCAAATGCCTCTGGTAGACGATTCACTTCCACCAAAAATCTTGCATACCAGTCTAGTGCCATAGCCCACAACAACAGTGTGTCTTCATCACATCTTCCTTTCTCATTATTACTCTGGAGACTCAAAACACAGAACTTAAATCCCTCTTCTGCTTTCCTGTAAATAAACCAATACATAATACATTTGATATGATTTTAAAACAACAATATTTAAAGTCACTTCTTTATCAGAAGTACTGTGTTCCATAAGCACTCCTATTAAATGAATGATTGCTCTTGTAGTCTGGTTATCCAGTCAGTAGTCTCAGATAATTATTTGGTAAAATCTGTATTTTCTTACAAGAACAAAGTCTGTCCATGGTCAAGATGCAGTTCTTTATATCTAAGGTGATGCGTCTTTCACATTATGGACAAACTGGCTGTAAGCCTTCCCCCATGCCTTTGTTATAGCATGTATCAGACAGATGACAATATAATTTTCTGACCTGAACATAAATGGATTGAGGTTGTTCGGTACTAAATTTCAAGCTTTTTTAAACAAACCTAAGTAACATATCGTATGATAATAAAATAATCACATCATTCCTAGATCATGGAGAGTGAGATTTTTAAATCACTGGGATTCTGATATTACTGAACGTCCAAGAGGATTTTATTAATTTCAGTAGTCATGAAACCTTCAAGTCTTATACTATATGGCATTTTGTATTTTACATGGAAAATGAGTGCAGATGAGCCTTTAAAATCAGTATCACTTCAGTAATATAAATATAATGCAGCATAACAAGTCGTTTCTGGTTACAGGCTTGCTTCCTGTGCATCCTGATACTCAAAAATTTATTTTATATACAGAATAAAGTATTGTATGTACCTGATATCCTTTTTAATTTTGTAAATATTTGAAAGTTTGAGACTTATATGAATCATTCTGTTGTCTGTTTTGGGTACACCCACAGACAACAAGTGCTGCATAACACTAAGAAATAATTTTTCTGCTTTTCCATATTCTCCTCGTTCATATGCTATGTTTGCAAGTAAATCATAGATATAAGTGATGCCATCATAATTTTGTTGATCTTGAGCTAATTTTAAGGCAATGTGAAGCATCTGTTCTGCTTTCTTAAACTCTCCTTTCTGCAACAGAAAAGAAGTATTACATTGCATTAATGTTTATTGTCAATTTTGTTGATTCCACTTCTGCTTTCTCTTTTTCAGGTGACTAATATCTCATCACATGCTTCTGGCCTTCCCTTGTCTAATATTTGCTTAGATTATCTTCATGATTTTTGCCATCTACTGACATTATCAAGCAACTTGTAAAAGTTATATTATCACACTGGAATAAGACATTTCAAAATTTCAGTTGCCAGATGCATATTCTTAGTTTCAAAATGAATACTGAGAAACAGCAACATTAAGTAACCTACAATACAGTTACATTAAGCTATTCACACCTGTGTAAGTAGAACGCCCCTCTTTATAGTTGTGATTAGTTCAGGTTCTTCTTCAATATCGTCGTTTCTCAGGCCAAAAAAGTTAAAAAGCCCTACTGACATAAACAACTGTATACCGCCGGAAGACCTCTTGTAGGTTAAATCGTGTTGATAGCATACATGATTCGAATTAATTCCAAGCCGGCTTACAACTGATGTACTGTTAAGTTTAACAGCACTTAATTTGAAACCGAATTTTCCTATATCCTTACAAAAAACTAAAATTTTAGATACAGACATTCCAATATTTCTTATATAAAATGCCATGTTTAAATGATGTCCAATGTATCGTCTGCTACCAGGGTCGCCAACTAACCATTAATAAATATTCACAGTTTGTCATTATGGCTGTTGTAATGGTTAATATGAGCGCACCTTGGTCCTCGAACACAACCATTGATCTTCAATATCTGGTACCAATTGTAACTTGGAACGTGAAGATTGGAACAATACGGCCACTGTATGCATGCACGACACACCTTAATTTGTGATTGAAACACCTGGAACCGTTATCGTATGGAAAAATGTGCTTAATTTGATAATGGGAGAAGTTTGAGTATTTGGTGCAAGTAACAGGTGAAATAAGTGCTGAAAAGAGAGTTGGAAGTAAATAGTTAAATGTTTATGAGGTGAGGTATTTAAAAACTACATCGTATTACATAACTATCCGATGAAGTATGTATTTTGTCTTGTGTTGAGTTGGTGATATAGTTGGATTTCTTTCATGAAGATCTAAATGTTCGATTACGATATCAGAAGGACTATTATTACGCCTGTTTAGGTTACAGATATGACCTCCAACACAACAGCTGAAGACTCTGTGCTTGGTGATGGCAGTCAGTCAAGTAGTTGGGTCCGTTTTGAAGAGGATGAAGGTATTAAACACACGTCACAAAATCAGGAATTATCGGCAAAACAAGCACAGCCAATAGCTTCGGCAATTTTGAATGCAGATGAATATAGTGGGGCTGTTATTAATCCAGAAACGGTCCATGTCAATGTTAACCAAAATGTAAGTCGTTCTGTATCCCCAGAAAAGCCAGATGTGTCTGTTAATAAAGCAACATTGGCTTCTTGTAGTAGCCCTCAGCAGTACAGTGGTGCTGTCATAAATACAGAATCAGTACATCTCAATCTGGATCGCAGCAGCTTAAGTCGGGCTGTGGGGGAGGATCAGCAACCACCAGAAACAACTCCAACTGCTGCACATAAACTCCAGGATGCAAGAATAGGCATGCGGAATGTGGATCTAAGGGAGACAAATAATGGCAGACCTGCAGCAAATACCAGAGTTCTGACTCTTGGGAATTCTGTCATCAGACAAGGCTTTGGTAAGCTAGAAAGAAATATGTAAGTTACAGTTATGTGTTTTGAAAGTAACAGATGTAATATTCAAATATGAGGTTGGAATCAGCTGAATGAATATCTGTGTGTGTGTGTGTGTGTGTGTGTGTGTATGTATGTGTGTGTGTGTGTGTGTATATATATATATATATATATTCAGAATTCTGTTATTAATTCACAGAGTAAGCAGGGGCATGGAAATGGTTTTCAACAAATCATTTTCATATTTACCCATTCTCTTATGTATTTTTGTAAGTGTCCTGGTTTTGAGTCCATAAATTTCTAAAATTGTATTTAATTTATTAAGAATATAATTCTTTTCCAGATTTGTATGGTATTATGTATATTTTCTAAAGTTTTATCCTTTGCATCCTGATGTTTAATAAAAGGACATTTATGTACAGTTGTGCAACAAATCAGTCTGCAAGCAGTGCTGACCCCCATATTTCTTACAGCATCAACAGAGTATTGAATTTCCACTTGAATATCCTCTGATAGCTCTTTGATATTTACTGGAACTTCAGTTTTGTATTTAAAAGATGAACTACTTTATTTAGTAGGATTTGAGTTTATCAGTGTTTGAGGGATCCTTGCTGCCTGCATAATCAGGGCACCCTCCCTGATGATGGAGGCAGCAAGGACCTCTGAAACATTGGAAGACTTCTACCACACTGCATGGAACAACAACCCAGAAGACAGCCGTCTACTTTATTGCTTTGTGTGTTGTCATAATTGGTACAGCCACTTGCTGGTCTATCTGGGCAGAGATGCTTATTGAAACTTTTCCATCTATGATCAAGTTTTATCTTGGTAAAAATAGTTTTCTTTCATTCAAATATTTTCTCAGTTCCTTTTAGCTTCCTTCCTCTGCTCTAATCAAATAGTTACATGTTGTGCAGTTATTATTTACATTCCTCAGGGAGCTGTGATTAACTCTTGTTCACTGATTATTAATTACTCTTTATCAGTGTCGTTATCCCCACTGGAAGTTGTACACTTGGTTTGATAGATTAGCTACCTGTAACAGAGTGCATTCATTTTTAATCACCCGAGGCCCTGTCCCAGCACTTTAAGTGGTCTTTAATAGTCTTAGAGGAAGTAATGACTATACCATTTATATACATTCTTTTTTTATGGTCATGTGTAATTATTTATTTCTGTATGTATTTAGCAAATGGTGATATTGTTGTGACACTGCTTCCTGTTAATACAAGATGGCCTTGGATTACACCTGCTCAATTCCGTCCTGAACTTGTACCAGAGGAGCTAATGGCACAGGGACTTACGGTACATGACAAATTTAAAACTTTGGTTTAGGCTACTTGATCTGTTGTTCATACAAGATTATGGTAGTTCAAGTGTACCAAGTAGTGCAGATCTACTTGTTTTCACATTTACTAAGCAGAGCTTAGTAGCTTTTTGGAACTGATTTTTAAATTAGTTTTCTCATGTTGAAATATTTTCCCTTACCTCCTTGCTTGAATTAGCTTTGAATTGTGTCCAGCATTGGCTTTTGGTGTTCAGGATGTTGATCCTTTGGGATCTGTTGTCAGAATACTTTGTTGAATTACGAAGTGATAACATGTGAGAAGTAATGGTCCATTTCAAATAAAACAAATTGTCCACTTACTTGTTATCAATTTTATACATTAAAACTGTGGCAAAGTCTTTATCTGCTTTCAGAGAAGTGGTTGGTAATGTGAACTATCCATTATATATTTTAAATAAACAGTCTTTATTTTCCATCATTCTGTGTACATCAGATATGTAAAGAGTCAGGTTGACATTGAATTCCTTTCCTTTCTCATAAACAACAGTGTGTATTGATGTTATTTTTGTATAGTAATTTCATGAGATAGGGTAAGTGTGTACATTTATATTGAGAGAGTACCAGATAAAACTGCCTGATATGAAACAGGTAAGATGCTGTATTTATGTGCTATGGTGATCAAAATTTTACATCAGACTTGAACCATCTACATCATAGGAGGCCTGTTCCATATCTTCATTGGCTGTGTACATCAGTAATATAAAATAGATAACATATTCTATTTGTATTAGAAATTATTCAGAATGTTTGCTTCTTTTGCATTAGTAGTGGTTCCAGTGTTTCTGATATATATATAATTACTGACTGAAGAGAATTTATGAAGTACTAACATGTTTCTAGTTCAGATCTTAGCCAGAGGATTGGCAGCATTGAAATACTTTTTATGACTTTCTACAATTAGTTTGTTAATGAATTTGGAAGCAAGCTTTGTGACATAATATGTTATTTTAATAATTATATTACAATATTAAACTCAGTATCACATAATGTGAAAGTGTCTTCATTATTGACAACCAACCACTTTTCAGTTAGGGATTTAGTTCTTAATTTTGTTGTATAAGAACAGGTTCTGGTACTATAGTATTTCATGGCAAAGGTTTAATTCTAAAGGTATTTCAGTTTGAATCTTTTGTAATGACTTGTTCTTACACCTATTTTTATTTCCTCTTGGAATTGTTTTGCGTTGTGTTGGTATACTCTTTATTAGCCAAGCTTGTTTGTGTGGTGTATAACACTGTGAACTGACAGTATAAATTAATGTAAATATTTGTTTATTTTGGCAGCTTACTGTTGAAGATTATGTACATGTGATGGAAATTTTAACAAATGATGTGCGTTTCAATGTCTACAATGTTTGCTACAAGCGCATTCTTGTGGCTTGGATCTTTACTGCTTTTATTGTCCTGCTTGGTCTCCTGTTCTCTGGGGTAACAGGGCTGACATTATTTGGATTGGGAGTTATGTGGCTAGTCCTGAATGCAGCAGCCATTTTTTTATGTATGTGGATCAAAATCAAGGTTTGTATCATGTAATTTATCAACAGTTTATTGATGAGCCTGGCTTGTAATCTTTTTAGTTAACCCTCTTACTGACAGGAAGCTATATAACACTTGGCAGGCCTTTTATTAAAATTGAATGACACATCAGAGATCTCTATACCCAATATGATATGAAGAAGAAAATCCTGAAAACCAGTATTCTGCATGACAGTATTGTCTCAGCTTATACATATTTTGTATGAAATAAAAACTAAACCTGTAAGAGTTGGTCAGATTGAATTATGGTAGGCCTGGCAATTCCTCAGCCTCTTGAATGTGTTGGTGAGTAAAGTTTTAAACATATTGACTTTACTTATCTCCCCATCTCTGGATTGTCATAAAGTGGAACTTGTTTTGGCCATTAAAATTTGAGAAAGATGTTTTAATGTTCTTGTATAATTCATTTGTTCAAAACTTTCAGCTAACTCTGGTGGAGTTCTTGTCAGTTGATTAAATAAACATGAACTATTATCACAAGGGCAGTCTGGCTAACTGTAATAAATAGTTAAGCTGCCTTATATTTTGCTTTCATTGATCTCCAAAATATACCTGTATTTCACAATGTTGATGTTACAGTTTTGAGCTATAGAAATGTGTAAGAGTTAGAATTTAAAATGATTTTCGTGTGTGGGATACCATAGGTGTTTTACAGTAAAGCATGTACTGGTCCAATTTTATTTACTGAACAGGAATTCATAATTTTATTAATTTGTTTTGTGCCCAAAATCATATTTATTTGTGCAACATTGTTATAGATTGATTTTTGTGTTGAAATATGAGGAGAAAGTGACTTTTTTATAACGGGATATTATGGTATTTATTTCTTCACTTTTATTTACTTTTCTTGTTTGCTTTTGACATGTGAAAACTGTCATTCAGACTTTAACAACTTTTAAACAAAGAAGAGAATGAAGCATGTAAGAAAGTAGTGTGTGACAATAAGAGATTTTAGTTAATAATACTTCAAAGTTGGTGGATTATACAACTTTTATAATAGATATGCCTTTGCAAGTGATGAATGTGATGTTGTAAGGGATAGATTTTATTAGGAGTTTGGGTACATGTTCAGTCAGTTTTGTAGGTACCTTCCAAAAGTTAAATATGAAAGTCTGGTGGAGGATTACATTTAAACCAGCAATAATAATATGTGTTTGCATTTAATTATTTATGTTAATGAAATTAAATTAGTAAATTTTTATACCAAAAGGAAAGTGTTATCATGAGCAAAATATCTCTGTCATCATATATATATATATATATATATATATATCACATTTTAGCTTCTGATTATGTGACTTGTTTTTGTTGATAAAAGTAGTAGTCTGGTACGATTGCTCTCTCCTGTGATGCTGATTGCTTATTTGTGACTGAAAAATAATGAAACTGGAGAAACTAGGTGTAGAAGATTGTGCTTCAGTACTTGAAAATATGTAGGAATAGAGGGAATCAAATATACCAAAAAGAGTTTCAGAACTCTTCAGACTATTTATGTATGAAAACATGTGTTATTAGTGTCTTTTGTCTCTAGCAGTGCTGTCATAGTTGAAATTTAATGGTTCCATATTAAATGCACTTGATATCTTTAGGCCAGAAATTAAAAAAATAGTGAGCCCAATTTCAAAATTTAGGGTTACGTGTTGTGACCTAACATTGGCAAATAAGGAACATTTATAACATTATGACATAATGTAACATTATTCAGTTCTAGATAGAGTATTAAGTCTGTATAACAATTTATGGACCTATATTTTACTTGCAGTTGAATCGCAGTTTGGAACGTTGCATGGCTCAAGTAAACAAACACTTGCTAAGACACAAGATCATCTTGGGCTTGGACGATAGAGGAAAACTGTCATGTCACAAAGTGAATCTATGCTTCATCTATTTTGATACTATGGACTGCATTGTGAGTAACTTTATTTGTAATTTAATTCAGTGTTTATCATTTTCCTTCTCTTATACTTATTTCATATTTATTATTTTCTCTCTTGCTGCTTTTTTTGCATGCTCATTGTTGCAGTGTAGACAGAGCTGCTTCATTCCATGTCTTTCTAGTTTTTAATTTATGAGTATCCTGTCATTTGATTAAAGTGTAACTAAATAAAGCAATAAACAAGGATATTTAACTGTTTATAACAGTTAGAAATGATTGAATATGAAAACTTTTAGTTTGAATCCAGTTTGTCTTGTACATGATCCACCCTCTTATGATGTGAAGGCCTTAAGTTTACCAGTCTTCAATTAATTGCTTGGTGTAATTGATTTTAAATTTAATTTTATCTTTGCAATTACAGTAATTATTGTCATTGAAATTTACCTGCCTTCTTGTGTTATGTTAAACTTTGATAAAAGAAGAAAAGAAAGTAGGGATGGCATGACTAATGATTTACTGAAAATCTTATTTGAATTTTTATTTATTTTATATTTTGTTGTGTTTTTGCTGTGAAGAAAAAACTTCAGGAGGTGATCGAGCGAGAAGAACGTGAAGGTCGAACAATAAATCGAGAGGAGACGTCAGAAGAAAGACGGCAACGGCAGCAGTTTCAGCAAAGAATGGACATTGAAGACAGGGATATAATTATTCAAGGCAGCAATACAACACGTCTGTCACGTAAACAGGTAAAATTCACTTTAGTTAATGCTTCCATTATATTTAGTCAGTGTACTTTCTAGTCACATACAGTGTCTAAATTTTAGATTGACAATCTGTCTACTCAGCAAATTTTGGTTATAGTTTCATTGTTTATTAAGAATCCACCACATGTTTAGAACTTAATTGGTCATCTTCAGGTGGTTTTCTTTAAGTGTTCAGAATGAATAGATAAAACTGCTAATTTGTATACATATTTTCTGTTGCTGACTCCACCATGTAATGGACTGTTGTAAGCAGCTTACCTGTTTTAGTAGCATGGACTGTGTAGATGTAGTTACCAGTGGAAAGCTGTAGTTGAACTGAAGGTGTTGGTTGAAGTTGAGAGGTAGATTTAGGTTAATGGAAGAGGGATGGGGTAGGTAGGATGGTAACAGTGGTGGATGGAGAGAACAGTCTTTAGGTATTATTTGAATTTATCAGAATTTAAAAAATGGAGTTGTTGCTATCTGGGTTTGTTTAATTTAAATGAATACCTTCTTAAATGCTATTGTATATTTGGTATTTTTCTAGTGTGCTCACGTAACTGTCCTTTTTGGTCTCTTCAAGAATGTTTATTGTATCTTCCAAGGTGGCATATGAGTGTCCATTTTATGGAATATGTTTGGGGAAAAATAGTCTGAATTTCTCTGTGGTAGAAAAAGATTCAAGCATTAATGTGTCTTAGAAGACCTCAGAAGGTTGAAGTAAGTGGGAATTAGTACACTGTATATGGTTAAACATTGTGATTATGATTTATATGGGCAGGATAACATGAATATGAATATGTGAGTAGTTTATGAAGAGAGTACGTTCATGATGATGATCATCATTTGTTGCTCTACAACCAAGGTTGGGTCTTGACTGCCTCTTTTGGAGGTTACTTATCTATTTAGATATTTGGTAGAACTCCAACATGTAACAATTTTCCCCTGCATTCTAGTCAACATATACGTAGTTCTCTCTGTGTTTACTTCTAGATCAACCTCCTTACCAGCATAAATTAGAGCTTCTGTGTTTTTCATGGTGTTTATGTTATCCCCCAATAGATTTACATCATCAGCCTAGACCAAAAGATGATGTGTCCCATTCATTTTCAGTCCAACATGGTTTTCTTGGACCTTCCTAATTGCATATTCTAAAGCAAAGTTGAAATGTAATACTGATAACTAATTTGTAACAGGAGATATTTTTGCAGCTTCTGCTGCTGTCCGTAACTAAATCGACAACAGAAAACTGTGACAAGGGATTATTTTCACGTCACTTAAGGAAGAAACATGACTCTCTTTTGATAATGCATGGGTTTTTTGTGATAATGCTTGTGTTTAAATGATCTGTTTATGCCAGTGGTTGAACCAGAAGTGACTGAAGTCATAACAGAAAAGGTTCTAGCAACACAGTCCCAACCTCCAAGTTTCCTTTTTAATTCATGTCTGCCTGCTGCCTTCACTGTTGGTTGATGTTCTGCCTTTTTATGTACATGATGTCAGAGACACGTGGAAACAACTGTACACCTGACTATTTGAAAAATATAACAGAAATATTTTGTTGGCATGTTCAGGCTGCGGACTTGTGGCATATGCATTTGTTGCTAGGGCAGTGATGATGACTTTACTGGGTTTTTTTCTGTTTGCATGTTTATATAACCCAAAACACTGTAATACATGCTTTTATTTCTATGCATCTTCTTTATTATGGCAGTTTACTGATTTATGGTGTGTATTTGATTAATATAGCACATGTAAAAATGTAAATTCATGAATAGAAAAAGCTTGAGATTTCTTTAGTAATTTTACAAGAAAGAAATATTGGAATAGCTGTTTCTTTTCCTTGGTTCTGTTTTTGGTTTGCATAGTTTTTTATGTTGGATCATAGGCAAGAGGAGAAGAATTACTGACTCGTTACATTCAACGTTGGGCCAAGGACTTTCTACGCCGTCGCCTGGATTGGACAGTGGATGAGGAGGGTGGTAATCCCATGGATCTTTGTCATCTTTCTTCGGCCCTTTGTCCCTGTCAGTACATTGAAGAATACTTAAAAAACAAACCACGTTCAGGCCGTCGAGCCTTCTGCCCCTGCTGTTCCTCTTGGCTCATTGAACGTGGAATTGATTAAACATATACTTGTTTTTTTTTAACATTCTGGCTTTCCTATGTTACAGTTGTATACATTCCAGACAGAATGATGTGTGCTATTAAGAATTTTGTGGTACCAGGTTTGCCCCAGTGGCAGGCTTAAAGAGTTTGCAAACAAAACATTTTGCATTGCATTGTACAGTCATGAAATTGTGTTAAATGCAACTGCATGCTGTTATTAATCTTTGCTGGTCTCTTCGGACTCTTGTATTAGTTTGCAGTTTTGGCAGCTATACAAAAATATTAATCAGCAGCAGTAAAATACATAACATGTTTTGTTCATTGCATATGGAACATTATTATATTATACATAAGTAAATTTGATGTGTAGGTAATAATATATGATACATTTAATTATTTTGTTTGCAAATGGGGCACACAATCAAATACACTTAAGTAATTAACAAATCTAACATTACTTACTTAATCGTGTAATTTTGTCCATGTCACCAAGCAGTTTGTTTTCTTTCTTAGTTCTTGTAGTGTTGCTGTAACTGAATGTCTGTATCCTTCCTGACATCATTCTTTTGACTATTCTTTCTTTGCACTTCTTTGTGTTGTATTATACACCATAATGTATTTACTTAAATTTATTTTTCGTGTAGGTTTGAAGCATTTGCCATAAAATACCAGTATAGTGTTAAAATTGGAATTCGGTTATGAAGGACTGATTGTTACTCTGTGCATTTTAATGTCACTCACATATCAGTAGTGTATTTATCAGATATTGGCAAATGCTTATATGTTATTGCTTTTTTCTTGTCCTTCAGGACTCTATTTAACATTTTAATACTCTTTGTAGATACTATAACTTCTTATGTGATTGAACTAATGTCATGTTTTGTAAGGAAAGGGGTAATTTCTTGTTGCAAATGGTAATTCTTTGCAGGCATGGTGTTTACCCCCACAGTGATTTTATTGTGTGATTAGAAATCTGCAAGTAGTTGAACCTAAGGGAAAGGGGTGGGGGTGATCCTCCAGGAAGCTTCATGAATTATACACAAAAAGTAAATGCTTATATCAGTTATATGGGTTATTAAATTTATTTTACTATCAAATTCCTTTTCTGATTCATGTTATTTATTAGGAACTAAATTTAACTGAAGAAAATTATGTAGAATTTAAGTGCAAATGAGTATGTAGTTGTGGTATCATATAAGACATGTCTGCCCGAATTTGTTTTGGTGTTTATACTGCAAGAAGAAGGGTGACAGATTTCACTGACATACAACCAGTGGTTTCTTTATCTTAAGTCTTACTCTCTTACAAGTCACACCAGATGTAAAGTACATTCTTTTAACATTCAGACCTCATCACTGGCTGCTGTTTCACCTTTTTTTTTAATTTATAAATTTAACAAATCTAGAATGCTTAATATATTTTGAAATCCCCAAATATTACACTTTCCTTTATTACTGAGAAACTGATTCCACATGGTGTTACACATCACCATATGAACTCCTAGAAATTTTCCAGTTATTACACACACACACACATACATACTAATATATACTACACAGCTCTTTCAGTAGGTATAGTATATTGTGTCTCGCTGTCATCCAGGAGTAAGGCTAACTGAACTGATGACCATTTTAATGTTTGTAGTTTTCTGTTTTCACTTCTAAAAAAACTTCCAAATCTAACAGTAATAACTAAGAAATACATAGAGAAAAAGTGCTATGATGGTTATGTTTCCACATGTTGGGGGCAGTTATTTTGTAGTTAGTAATAATACAAACAATAAGGTCAGTAACCACTTAACAGCATTTTCATAAAACAAAAAACACTAAATTTTAATATGTACCTGGAAGTATGCAGTCAGTGCAGCTAATTTTTGGTCAAGTACATTTTTTGATCATGCCACATAAATATTTTTACAATGTGTTCTGTGTCACAGTGAGGAACTAATTATCTCCTCAGAGGATCCAGAAGGTGTAGCTAATTTTCCCTTCTTTTATGGAACCTTTATGTTCTTTACCATTTTCACAAGTGTCTGTCATGAAACTGTATCTTGAATCAGTTGGATCTGGTATGCATCCCCACACCCTATTTCATCTGCATAACAATAAGACAATAATAATTATCTTACTTTTTGAAATAGGTGCTTAGACATATTTGAGGTTCTCATAGTGGTGAGTACAAAGATTGCTGTCTTCTTGGTTGCACTGCTATATAATCTGTTAAAAGTTTACCAGTTACCCAGAAGACAAGACCTTTCAGTAGTAACATATTAATTGTAGGCACAGTCTTATGACAGATTCATGTATTTGTCATCTTATTGGCTGATTTAACATTGCAACTGATGATTACCAACTGACTGTCAGCATACAATATTGGCTCATGGGAGATGAAAACTCAGTATGTGCCATTGCTTGCTTATTGTTGCTTTGTGGCATGCTTGTTGTTGCCTACTAAGGTGGTGGTTGTGGTCTGTGTTGCACAGGAGCGTGCTGAGTTGGTTTTCCTTCGCTACTCTCAGCGCTGGGCTAAAGAATATGTGCGCAGGCATCTGGAGCTGTCAGTGGACGGTGCGGAGCGTGGAGGCTTCTCCATGGCACCTCCCCGCCACTGCATCTCTGCCCGCTGCCCTTGTCAGTTTGTAGAGGAGCACCTCAAGTATAAACCTCGAGGCAAGTGTTCTGTCAAACAGTTCTTCTTGCTGCCCAACTTTAATTTCAAATGAGGGGCCTTCCCTCATTATAGTGGCTATGGTAAAGTAATTTTCTGTTGCTCTAGTCATTAAAGGATAACATTTTATTGGTTCTTTGGCTATGGAATATTTGTATAGACTACACACTGTAGTGTTACAGCTTTCATTAATGGGGTTGGTTATGGTGAGATTTTTGTTTAGAAGACACATTTCTTTGAATTTTCTTTTCTTTACTTTACTCTCCCTCATTAATTTTACTGTTTTTCATTTTCCTCTGTGTCAGTTTTATACCACTTTTTTAACATGCTGTTGTGTTAGATCTCAGTTTTATGATACTGCACCAGGATTGTCAGCTCATCTATAATCTTTACATTAACGTTGCTATTTACATATTACCAACAGGATCATATTCTTATTCCATTGGAGGTTTTGAATTGCTGGCCCACACTGAACATATTGTTTTGATAAAACATAATTAATCTTTTGGGTTGATTTTTTAATATGATCCATTTTGTCATTAACTTTTAAAATGTTTTTGTACTTAAACTATTCCCTACAAGTACAGGCAACATTTATTAATATAATTGAGGGCTGCAGACATTTTTGAGTTGTGATGTCTTTAATACAGTACATGAAATTTGGCATGGTGTTGGTTACCTCCTGTAGCAGGTACTGTTTCTTGTGAATGTACCTGACTGCATAATGGAGTTAACTGCACTGTATGATACAGTAATGGGTTTTTGATGGATGGACATATTTGTTGTACAATTGTGCAGCTAGTGACACTGAGTGAAATGAATTAAAGGTGTAGCATATATACAAACAGGTTGTGCAAATATGTACTTAAATTTTTAACATGCACATACTGTATTAGATTGTGGTTGTTGTGTTTGTTGTTCCAAAAGAGACGTTTTAGTGGACAGTATTGTAGTTTGATGATTGTTGAAGGATATAACTTTTGAATGTGATGATTTTGGTTGGGATTTAATCACAGCTTGGTGATTAAATGTTCATCTTATTTTTAAGTCTTTATTTTTTATTCACTTTGTCCCTGAAAAGAGATCTGCTTGAAAAAGTATCACTTTTGTTTGTCTTCACTTTTTGCATTTACATTGAATTGTACTTAACTTGATATTACCTGAATGGGTGTTACATATTCCGTCCATTGCTCTAAGGAGAGTTTAATGAAATCTAGCCCACTCCATATTAATGTGGACTGCTGCATCAGTATCTCAGATGTTACTAGAACATGAATTACTCTATCATACTTCAATCATATGATTTATTAAATTCATATTCATTCCTGCCAATCCTTCCAGTTTCGTTTTCGTACAGGTGTACGTCTTTTACGTTGTAAATTGTTAATTTGTCAGTACTATTTATAACAGCTGGAGTATTGTCAGTATAATTTTTTCCAACATATAACATCATGGTGACCAGAATTTTTTTTTATTTAAGAAGAACTTATGCTGGTAGGACAATCTATGGGGGTTTATTTAGTTGTTACAAAGATGATAATGATAGAATATCAAATTTGCAGAATTTTCCTCTATTGAGATTTTAAATATAATGTGATGATTATTATATTAAAGGAATTACTTTATAAAGATTTTTGTTTGATGCTGGAAACTGGTGACAACAGCAAAATTTGAATCTGCATCAGTATCACCACTGGCTGTTCCCACCTTGCCTGTAGTGCTTACATTGGGTTGAGACTAATACTGATATTCCCTTCACCAGATGGTCTGCAAATGAATTTTCACCGATTCATCCATATCTCTACATCCCATTAAAAAAATTGTTCCTATTTTGGGCTAATGTAAGAAGAGGATATCTAGAGAATCAGAAATTTAAATTTTTTTCTTAAATTGGCAGGTGGTTGATGGTATGGTGCTAATTACAGACGACGTAAAATATAAAGCCAAGTTTTGTTCCTGTGTTTAATTTGTAATATGTCTCCCACTGTTCTAAATATTTTCAGTACTCATAACTTTCATGTCTTCATTTTACGTAAGTCTGTTTTAGTAATTATTCATCATTTAACTTGTAGGCGGTTGATTTTACCTCATACATGGTTTTTACATTATCATATAATAGATGTTTAAACATTTTTTCTCTCCTTCTTTTTGGCAGCCATTATTCTTGTACCCTTCTTACTAGATAATTTATTTTATGTATTGGCAGATGGTATGTTATAAGTTGGAAAGACAGACATTTCCATAAATTTCATAATTATTTTGGATTTTCTTTTACATACTCATTTGGTATATGTGGTAAGAGTACCATTCACATTTGGATGTTATGTTTCATACTTTCAATATTATGTTTAGAATAACTACTCATTTTGCATATAAAATTTGAAGAATATGAGGAATTACTGTAGAAAGCAGCTATACCTAAAGTGTTTTAACTATAGTCATATATATGATTGATTGTCTTTTATGTCATATACAACAGAAGAAATTGTATTGTGTATCATTTATCATTTAACTTTTTAAAATACACATGTTACAGAGTGATTTTATATTGAAGGATTATTATACACTAGTTTCAAAACCGTTTTCAGCAAATGATAATGTTTTGTTTGGTTACAGAAGTGACTTAGTGTTTGTTACGCCAGAGATTTTCAAGTGCTTATGTGTCCTGCATAATCTGAAACATCTCACTGCGCTTGTATATGCTCAGGTTTACTGAGGTTGTATATAGAAACTAAACTCAGGAAGTTCTCATTTGTTAGTTTTGTTCCATATTCTTTTGTCAAGCCTCAGTCTCTCTTTCATTTGAATATCAGGCCTTAGTCAGTTTAGCATGAATGAATTTGTATTGATAGTTATATTAATGTTCATATCATTTATTGATTGTATTTTTGAAAATTACTTTCATACTTTAACTTTTTGGTGCAGTTTCATGAGTAACAGAAGGTTGAACAGTGTAGGTTTACCAAAGCTGTTATACATGTATATGTGTTATGTTTGTATTTGGTCTTCAACAGGCCACCTTCAACTTCCCAGAATGTAATGATGAAGGAAATTTATTTTTACCAAATTTTGGCTATAAATGTTTGGTGTTGAAAAAATAAAGCCAACCAAAGTAATTGAGATGTGAATTGTGGAATTATACTGTAGAATTTGATTTAATTGTCATATTTTCCCCAGAATTAAATGTCGGTATGAACCTGGCAGTGCATGTAATTATTCTACACCATGTCGCCAAACATTGTTATATTATCTGGTAGTATGACTGCTCTGACAACCTAAAATCTGTTTAGTTTTAAGTTTCTTTTCACAGTTATGCTTTTTTGTGATGTTATTCATGTAAGTTATAAATAATAGAGGAGGAACTGGAACCTTAACAAACCAGGTTCCGTTTATGCACTAATCTTCAGATTTGAGATTATGCACTGCATTCCTCTAAATTTAATCATCATTTTTCAGAATTACTAGTTGTTCTGCATTTACATTTGTTGCTGGCTTGAGGCATGGATTATTTTGTAACATTTTCACTAAGAAACTTATATAAATTGTAAAGTGCTTCGCACGTACCATAGTTTGTTCTGGTATGAATTTCAACCTATCTATAATTTATTCTAGATATAACTATTTTCCATTGGTACATTTGTGAGGCAAATGGTCATCTATCATCTTTTCATAATCAAACTCTTCTTTTACAGCTGTAGATTTTTCAATGGCAGTTTTGGTTTTTAAAACTTGAAACTTATGTAGCGTAATTAGCTGATATGGTATGCAACAGTTAAAAACAACTGAAGTGAAACAACTAATAAATGAGGCTTGCCAGACCAGGTTTCTGTATACAGTAATTAATTACAAGTTGTTATATTAATAAATAAAAATTGTTTTTGACTACAAGGTTATTTGTGCTAATAATCAGGAATAAAATGTCTTTATTAATTTTTAAAAATATTTATGTAATATAGGTAATCTACAATCCATTGACTTACCTGAAATTTTATATGGGAGTTGGTTTTGTATGCTGCTGATATATATAATTGTAAGATAATGCTACACTTTTCAGATATTATTACCAACTTTAATATTAACTGTGTGTCTAAATTTCTAAATTGTTACTGAGCTTCATATTGTGACTACATGTATCTTAAGTATATGTAGTAGAATGATGATTCTCACATCAGCCATTCACAAATTTTGAACAGATTAGGGTATAACATTACTTTCAAATATCACATCTTCATGAGTTTTTAATTTTCAATTTTAAATAGGCTGCTCTATCTATAGTTCGCGACTGTAATCTTGAGACTTGCGGGGTGAGGAAGTGGGGTGAAGGAGGAAATGTAGCGTCAGCCTTTAAAGCTTCGGACTTCTTGCATTCCTTGCAAGTTTCAAGATTACAGTCGCGAACAGTTGGTAATAATAACTCTTGCTCCAAGTTGATTTCTTTGTTATATTAGCATCTATCAATTAGAAAAATCCAAACTTTAGACCAGGAAGGAAGTTTGGAATGATGTATGAAGATTGTGTGATGTGATTATGTGTAACAGTTCTTGATGCTTCTTGCATGCAGCTGGTAGGTGCAAGCCATGTGTGGCATTTGTGGGATCCTCATAGTCACACAGATGTTGTGAGTATATTTACTATCTTATACAGGGTCTGTTTTAATAATAAACAAATTACAGCAGTGATTATTTATACTCTGTGTGCACATGAACAAGCAAGCATGTTATAATAGGAAAGCAAATATGTTACATACCAGAGAAGTCTCAGTCTTATGAACATGTATATAATGAATACATTTACTTTAGATCCTAATGAAAATACAAGGTATAAGATCTACATGAATAATTCTTCTGTATTTAAAAAAGTGGGAGAACCAGTGTCATGTTACTGAATGTTTATGTCTAGTATGGATACACATACTCTCAAATATGAATTTGTAAGTGAATAGTCCTCTTATTATTTATGATTTACCTCACACACATAAAATACATCAACTGCATCATGTGTATTTACTTTGGAAGAACTCTTTTGTATAAAGTATCTCTATATCATTTTAAGTATCTTTGCTTCCTTGCTTTCATTTTAACAATTTGATTTTTTCAGCATTTCTATTAAAATTTATAGCATGCCAAATCATTTTTAAACTAAACATTTGTGAAACAGTTCAGGCAGCAGTACAACATACCTTGTATAGACACACTACTATTGAATATTTTGTAGCCCTGGTTATGATGTTCTCTTTTGGGAAGCTTTATTACAGTTGAATCATAGGGATCCTACTTTAATTGAAAGGTTAGAATTAAATTTTATATTTCAAGTGTTCACAAGTTCACTAAATGTTTCAGACAGAAGTTGTAAAGTTCTTATCCTTTAGGTTTTTACGGCTGAAGCCTGGTGTAAAACTGGGATTTGGCCAAACCCTCAAAGTCAAAGTTAGACATAATAGAAGTTATTTCACCATTTACTTTCGATTAAAAATAAATTTAAATGTTAATGTGGATTTCACTGCCATGCAGTGTTCAGGTTAGTTTGTTGTATTTGTTTCATATAGACTACTTTACACATAAGTTACAACTGATACACTACACAACAGTCATTTTATCATCTTATGGATTGTTGTTGCTTGTTTTAAAGTAGACCCTGAAGTAGAAGGCTGTTCATATGTTTGTTGAATGTCTTGCATTATCACAAGCACTCTAGACTTTTTGTCTGCACCATTGAAGTTACTCAAGCTTCTGATTGATGCATTCACTCTACATTTATAGGAAGCTGTGCATGATTTTTAATTTGTTCATTGCATGAATCCTTTATACACCATTTAAATTCCCACATCCCAAAGCTATGAGACTGGTTAATGTATGTATGGTATGTTTTAGCAGGGACATTTAATATTACTATTTCTGCTATGGTGTGTGTTGCAAAACCCATTAAGGTTTATAATAAGAAAATAGGGGATTTAAACCTATATAATATGTGGCTACCAGCTGGACCTTTTCCTCTAGGGTCATTGGTTTAGTGGTATGCCACTGTGTTGGACCATGCATAAGCTGCAGTGTATGGTTGATAAAGATTAATGATGCAGTTGCTCAGTGTACTTGGGCTTTATATAGCATGGCAGTCAGGAATTGCAAACATTTAAGCTTTTCATAATACTGACATTTATCAATTTACTGCACACATTTCAGCTTGAATTTTTCCAGAAATGAATTGGAGTTTACAGTTATTTACTTTTTGGATTTCAGAATTACCTTCATTTTTTTGCAGTCATGTGTTTTAATTACATATTGTAGTAGTAGTAGTAGTAGTTTACAGTATTTATAAGATAGGGTAACCATAATTCTGTTATCCAGAACATTGTAGTATTTATTACTGTGTCTTTACAAACTCCCTGAATGTTTCATTGCATTAGCTCCTATATTTATTGTGAATTATCCGTATACTCAAAAGAATATATTTAGAAACAGAACTCTGAAAAGGGGCACAACTTTCCACTCTTCTTGAAGTAGAAGGAAGTCTTGATTTGTGTGAATTCTTGTTCACTGTATTTCAGTGCTTTATGAATGTGCATGAATTATGAATTAACAGTACGTGCAGGAGTTACTTTTGATTTCTTACTACTCATTTTTGGTCCTCACTAAACTATTAACACATTTGTGTGAAATGGCATTTTTGGCCTATGATTTTATAAGTTTGGTCACCCTGATTATGTAGCAGAATCTTGGCTTAAACGGTGCTGTCTTAACTGGCTGTCCAACTTTACCACATTTTTTCCCCCATAGGCTTCCTCAGTTACAGTAAATACAGTAATTATTTTTTTACTCTGGCTTTTTATATTTTATTTATCTACACAGGTGAACCTCATAGTATTTAAAAAGTGGAGGGACATCCATTTAATTAATTTCTATTTGTGTTCATACACTATATTATTGTTGAGGTAGCAGGGGAAAAATGGAAAGGACCTGTACAACCCACAGATAACCTACCTTTCTTTCTTAGTGTGCGACCACTATTCTGGATTGTCCCAAGGAAACACATTTACAAAAATCAGCAAACAGTTGTAATGAAACCCTGTGGGTATATATTAAATAAATAAGTCAAATGTACGAAACACAGGTCCATGGAACACAGCAGGTCTGAATAATTATAGCCATGAATACTGAATCTTGGTGTAGGTTTAAGCCCTTGGTCACAATTTCAAATAACTCTTACAGGCAAGCAATGATTCAGAATAATACACAGTAATAATAAAACATACAACTAAATATTCTTACAAATACCAGAGAATGGTGGGTTTGGCTTGGTTACCCTTTTAGCAATAGAAAAGCACTGAAAGTGATTTGAAGACCAAAAGAATGCAGAGTATTTTAGACAAATGTTATAAAACTTAATTACATATTTATTAAATGTTGGATACACTGATTCAGTAGGATAAACCATTTCTTAAAAATAAGCCATTAATGTGATCAGTTTTCATAATGTAACATTTAGCAGCAATGAAATTATATTTGTCGACAGTCATGTATTAAGAGGCCAAAGTATAAAGTTTAACATGCAAATTCTGGTGTTAAGTCTGAAAATGTATGGGGACTTGCCTGCGTATCCCTTCTTTGCCATATATCATACTCGTACTCGCATGATGCACAGCTATAATAATTTTAAATCCCTTACACTAATAAATGTTTGGCTTTCATAATGAAATCATGTCATTGGTTCATTTACAGGTTATCATTCTTCTAATATTGTTTCCATTTTATTAGGGTATGATGGACATGTAAGTCACACAGAATTAGCATTCTATTATTAAATGTATTTTCTTGTTTTCAGCAGAAGTCTGCAGTTTGTGTGCATACATGAGTGACCAACATTTTAATTTTCAGTATTAAATTCAGAAGAAATAGTAACAGTATGTATAGTATGTGTTGTAATTTGGAACAATGGAAACAGTTCATAGACTAAGGAGGTAACAAATGCTAGCCATGTACTGTGTTATTCTAAATGTAGCAGAGCAGCATATACAGGCTGAGTCATAAGTATGTTCACAAAATTTGTGTGCGTGTTCCAGGATCAAAAATAAGAAAAAATGTTTCTATGAACATGGGGTCGCTAATGTTTCATTTTCGAAATAATAGCCAAAAATAAGTTTCAATGAATGCCTTATGTCAAAGTGAATGCAGCTTCCAGCAAATTCTAAATGTAGCAGAGCAGCATATACAGGCTGAGTCATAAGTATGTTCACAAAATTTGTGTGCGTGTTCCAGGATCAAAAATAAGAAAAAATGTTTCTATGAACATGGGGTCGCTAATGTTTCATTTTCGAAATAATAGCCAAAAATAAGTTTCAGTGAATGACTTTATGTCAAAGTGAATGCAGCTTCCAGCAACAATTAACGTTTGTGCAGGAATTGTTGGCGACATGCTTGTTGGTCCACACATGCTTCCATCATGTCTAAGAGGATCTTCATATCGGCAATTCTTAAGAAGACGCCATGTCTCCTTGAAGATGTACCACTGAATACAAGAAAACAAATGTGGTTTATGCACGACGGAGCCCCAGCACACTTCTCTCGTCACGTCAGAGATCATCTCGATGAACAGTACCCTCAATGATGGATTGGACGCGGTGTCCCAGTAGCATGGCCACCACGGTCACCAGACCTGACTCCATTGGACTTATATCTGTGGGGTCACTTGAAGTTTGTCATTTATGCAACTCCCATAAACAATGAAGACGACCTATGGGAATGTGTGTAGAAGGAATGCCAGATGATTTGAGGAAACCACTGTGTGTATGAACGATTCCGCCAATCTTGTGTAAGTTCTGCAAGGGCATGTGTGGAGAATGCAGGAGCAACCTTTGAGCATCTGTTATAAAGAAACATCCCTGTCATTATACTTGGCAATAAAGGCATACATTGAAACTTATTTTTGGCTATTATTTTGAAAAAGAAGCATTTGTGACCACATGTTCATAGGAACATTTTTTCTTATTTTTGATCCAGGAACACACACACACAGTTTGTAAACACACTTTTGACTCACTCTGTATACATTTAATTAATGCATTTTAGGAATTTTTAATGTTTGTATATGTTGGGCCTATACAACTTAAAGAAATTTTAGAAATTATGTTATATTTCACAGATGTTCAATAAAATTCTAATATTTTCACTTTTAGAGAATTTGAAGAACTACAGGAATCTGCTGCAATTATGAGACACTTGGTCAGGGAATCAGAGTAAAAGTCAAATAATGGTGTGAGAACAATGTATGATCAGTGTTTGGAACAGTAGAAATTTTATCTGAAGCCAAGTAAGTAGAAGGTTGTGTGCTCTGTGCATGTCAGAGTAGAGGTTTCTCATCCAGAATTGTAGAAGAAATTCAAAGAGAATGAATTGGGACTTAAGATTTTTTAAGGTTCCTTTTAGCAGAAGTGTTATATTGGAGCAATGTGGTACACAAGTGAGAGATGTATTGTCAACTGATTCTGTCCTTCATGCACTTATTTAGTAACAATATGTAGCTATAATGTGTTTCTTAAAAGAAGGAATAAATTATATCTTCCTTCTTCTTTATTATGCCGTCTCCTTTAGAGGAGGTTGGTGACATATTATGAACAGGATCCTTCCATCCTACAGAAGCAATAATGCTAGCTATAATGAGATTGTTTCCATTGCTTTCATTTCAGTTTAATGTACCTCACAGACAATTAGAGTTGCCATTTGATGTGCATTGATATTCCAGAATGTATATGTTTATATTGTGATATCCAGTTTTCATGTGTTTTAATCAGTATTTATTTTTATAACAATTTTCTAAACAGTATTGTAGGTGGGTTTAATTTGAATTTTAGTTGGAAGGAAATATCTGATCCAATCAAAAATAAATCTTGGGTAATATGGGATGATTTAATACAGGTGAAATATAAAATTAAATAACTCAAATGGATAACAATACAAGTATAAAGGACCTTGCAAGTAAAAATCATATTTTTGTGCTTTG